TTATGCTTCAACCACAGGCTCTTATTTGGTGGAACTCAATTTCGGCATTGACAAGAGGTCGCAGGAGTGGGACTCCTTGTGAAAGTTGTTCTCCAGGGACAGATGTGTGTGCCTGCACAAAGGCTGAAGGAGACCTGAACGGCCAAGAGTACACCATGCAGGTCTGAATGAAGAATACACTGGAGTATCAGCTCCAAACAATGAAATCACCAGCGTTGAATCTTCACAATCTCTTGAGATGGCTAGTTCCGCTGCTTAGGTGTGCTCAGACCCGGAGTTTCCAATCTTTACCTCAAGAAAACATTACCATGTTTAACGTTAGGCAACGCAACATCCTCTTGCAGTAGGGTTCTAGTACAAATGCCATCAATGGAAGATAAACAGCACTGACAGGGCAGAACAAAACCTCTTACCACAGCACATTTGTAAGCTGAGTCTGCTGGTTCTTGGCACAAAGTCCAGTAGTTGTCAGAAGCCTTGATTTGATCAGACATTAATAGGTTTCATTTCATACCATTCAAATATCTAGAAATTGGGCTCTCTAAATCTAATATTTACTTCATAAATCATGAAGCTGCCAGTTCATGCTCTGTGGAACTGGCCCATGGTGACACATTATGCCCTGGGTGGGGCCAGTCATACCGGAAGAGAACCTTCAGAAATGCTGTCAACTTCATGTAAACGTGGCGGACAGTCACCCAGGTACATAGATGTACAGTGCACACCAAGCCGAGCACTTTAATTTGCACCTGTTCTTAGCATGTTACCTCAATGAAATATAAGAAAAACAATTTCATATAACTTGAGTTTGATTTATAGATTCATGTAACTTGAGTTTTTAACAGGAAAAATTACAGACAATATCACTCACTAGGCCTGGCTTTCTCAACTTGAAGATGCAGAATGGAAGCATCATTTCAGACAGATCTAGGGCGTGGTGGTGCTTGCCTTTATCCCAGCACACAAGGCTGAGGCAGAAGGATACCCCAAGCTGGAGGCCACCCCAGGCAGGGAGTCTAAGCCAGCCTGAATAAAATGGCAAGACTGTCTCAAAACAAACCTGTATGAATGGGCATATTCTAGATTTTATGGTTGGCTGAACAACTTGCAAGAGTGTAACTATCTTGAAGTGCTTATAATTTTCAGATGACGTCAGCACCAAGTCACATCTGAATGAGAACATTTTTACTGGACCTGGCTGCTACCAGCCTGACATGTTAAACCTAGTCATGCACAATAGGACTCCTGGTGGAGGTTTGGGGTTAGTTCACAACTGTGAGCAAAAAATAAAAATTAAGGATGTAAAATATATACCGACATGCAAGCCTCGCTACATTTCAGTCAAGCTTTCATCTTCTCCAAATGCAGCAGTAGCAGCAAAGTGACTAACAACTGATCCAGAAGAAATAGACAAAGAGAAATCTTTTTGATTTTACTCGTAATACCTTAGGCTTGAGTTTTACAACCACAGTTGTTTATTGGGTATTGATGGTAATTAACAGTATTTGTGCTATGTACAAACCAGCAGTGTGCACAGGCTAATCAAACAGCACTTTTCATAGTAACAATAAGCTTGTCTTCTGGAGGGTTAACAACCTAAGTTTGCAGACCAAAATTAGAGACAAAGAAGGGCCTCAAGGAAAGCCAACATTTTGGCCCTAGCCTTCCAAGGTCAATTAAGACTCAGGACATATGAGAACTTGTACTGTAATGTCATGTAACTCAGCAGTGTCCCAAATTTTCTGATCAAGGAGATTATGGGACCAAAGAGGAAAGTGATCCATGATGTAGAGTGTGCCTAAGGAGAGTCACATGGGGAGAAAACACTCTCTCAGGCTTTCACAGAGAGCACAATGGCCAAGCAATGGCTGTGACTCATCCACATGGCTGACATTGATAAAGGATCTATAATCTGAGGTACAGGATCTCAGGAAAAATCATGAGGGGATTTGACTGACCTTATTAGATCCCAAAGCTACAACTTTTTTTGCATAGGTCTTGCTTTATCTTGGTTTTAACCATCTAGCAGAAAAGTATAAAAATGAACTAAAAGAAGTAAAAGCCAGGGCCGGGGAGATGGCTCAGTGGAATAAGCACATTCCTGGCAAGCGCAAGAGCCTGAGTTCAATCCCTGGTTTCGCAAAAAAAAAAAAAAAAAAAAAAAAAGAAAGCCATGGTGTTGTGTTGTTGCTGTAGGGGTCTCTTTTTTTTTTTTTTTTGAGGAACTGGGGATTGAACTCAGGCCCTTGAGCTTGCCAGGCAAGTGTTTATTCTACTGAGCTACCTCCCCAGCCCTTTAGGGGACTCTTGTCAACAATTTCTGACACTGCCAGTCAGTGAAAGACCCAATACTATTATGGACTACTGGACTCTTTTAGAATATTTTCCTGAATTAACACACCTATAATATTCAAATGACGGAACAAAAAAGGGGATACAGATGAATGTCCATTTTGTATCTGTGTATTCAAAATGGTTAGGATAGTTACATTCTCTTAATGAATAGAGGGATTTGTTCTAATAGTTTGTAAATAGGATATCATGTCCGCATCTTGTACAGCAAATAACCACTATGAAGAGAGTATGCAATGTGTTAATTATTGAAACTTTCCTACCAATTTGATTTGAAACCGTCTCATTGCTATTTGTTTCTCAATAAAATTAAGGACAAATAAAATAAAAAACCCCCAAACAAACAGCATTTTTTGGGTTTGGGGCTAGCGCTGAGGATGGAATTCAGAGGCGCTGTACCACTAAACTACATCCCTGGTCTCAACTGCCTATGCAAGACTCTCAAACTCTTGCCCTCTGAGGACAAAGGGGAAAAGATGAATTCCAGCACACCGTATTACGATACTTCTAACATAGAAAATGTGAATACAAAAGGCACAGATTAGCTGCATGCCATAAAGTAAGTAGCATACAAAGAGTTAAGGGCAAGTTTTCTCCCTTTTTTAAATTTTTTTTTGGTAGAACCGGGGATTAAACTCAGGCCCTTGTGCTTGCCAGGGAAACGCTTATTCCACCGAGCCATCTCCCAGCCCCTTTTTTCTCAATTTAGGATTAAAGAACTTATGAACCTTCTGCCTCAACTTCCTCAGTGAAAGGATTACAAGTGTGTCCACCATGTCCAGCTCAGGAAATGAAAATCTCAAAACTACATTAAAAAAAAACACTTTTAAATTAAGAGAATGCAACCTAAAACTACCAGAAGCACTTAATGTTTGTAATATAAACAATTATACTTCGCAGGCTTCTTATAAAGTATTACCACAATTCACTAAGACTAAAATACTATACACAAAGGCTGGCTATGGTGGTGCACGCCTGTAATTCCAGCACATGGGAGGCTGAGGCAGAAGGAGCATTTGGAGTTTGAGAACAGACTGGGCTACAAAGTGAGCTCAAGACCAGCCTCAACTACAGTGAAACCATCTCAAAAAGACAAAAATAACTACACATAATTGCTGTAAGAGACTCTAGAAACATGCTTGCATGAAAATGCTCGAGTACTTTCACTGTATTTCTCCACACAATAGGGATGCACACATCTTAGCACATCATATATCCCCAGCACTGCCAAAAGCAAAATAAAAGCCAAACAAAAATATGCCCAAAATAAAAACCTCAACCCAACCAAGTAAGCCTATCTAACATTGAATACTCATGAGACAAACAGGGTGAATAAAGTACTTTTCACTGTGTAACCAAGTTATGAAAGACAAAGTTCAGTTTTGAAAATAATTTATTATGTAGGTAAAATATGGAACATTTGTTTCAAAAACATGGAATTAGAACATGTGCTCCCCACAGCCCCTTGATACAGGTCTGGAAACTGACAGTATAAAGATGACAGGTAAAAGAACGACAACAAAAGGTTTTAGAAACTGAAAATTAAATGCATGAGTGCCAACTGTTCCGATAGACTGGAGGATTAGAAGTCTCTGTGCTGGGTACAGGCCGTCATTAAAAACCCCACTACAATTAACTGCAAGAAACAGATAAACCCCAACCTCTAACTCCTTCTAAAGTGATTACTACTTTTACACTGGAAGAAAACTAAAGCAACATTCCCTGCAAAAGGTGACCAAAAGGGGTTGGGGCTCTGGGACTTGGGGATGTCAGATTTGAAGCTGAGGTAGCAGGTTGCAGAACTTTACTGAAAACTGAGGATGTCTGTACTGTGAACAGTGAGCTCTCCAAAACCCTTTCCCTCCTCTCTGCCCCAACAGAAATCCTGCAAGGTATATATCACAGATGGGAGGATTTCTCTCCCACAAAGGGCCTACTAAGCATGCTGATGATTGAGGAGTTCTGAAAGATAGGAAGGAAATCGAAGCAAGTATGTTTGTTAAGAGCCAACAAAAAATCTGTTGTGGCAGAGAGTCAGCAAAAATAGGAACTTTTGACAGACCAGGTAAAATGACTTCAGAAGTCACTGACAACATTACAAAGAACAATTCCAATAGAATACAGGAATGGAAACCCAACTGGAATGAGTTCGGGGGGGGGGGGAATGAAAACGGGCAAACTTAAAATAATATAAATATTGTTTGCAAGTACTGCTGCTATTAAAAAAAAGAGAAAGACCTTTCAGTTGGCTTTGACTAGGATAAAGAGTATATTGGAAGAAATGAAAGACAAACAGAAACAAGCTTACTGATACAGTGATGCCAACTTTTACAAGTTTTTTCCTATTTCTTCAGTGGAACAGGGAGCAAGATGAGTGTTACCAGAGATACAAGAACAGAGACAGAGGCCAGCAAGATAGCTCAGTAGTCTAAAGCGCTGCTTAGGCAAGCACACAGGGAATACAGTTCAATCCCTGGCACCACATGCCGTGCCAGCCCCACCCCAGGGTGGGCTGGGCCAGCTACATTAAAAAAAGAAAAGGAGGGCCGGGGAGATGGCTCAGTGGAATAAGCGCTTCCCTGGCAAGCGCAAGGGCCTGAGTTCAATCACTGGTTCCGCAAAAAAAAAAAAAAAAAGAAAAGAAAAGAAAAGAAAAAGAACAGAGATAAAGCTATGACAGTTAATCAGGACAACGTAAGAAAACAAGACTGAAAAAGTACATGCAACTACTAAGCAACTCACTGAAGCGGTGACAACAAATTTCAGGCAATACTTGTCAGCATGCTTATGTGACTGGCAAAGCCTGACTTACTAAGACAAAATGAAAAAGTTGCTCTATGTTGCTCTTTTGAGTAAATGTTCTCTCAAAACATTTTTCTTAAAAAAAATTTTTTTTTTCTTTTGAGCTTTAGTTCCATTATCATCTGATCTGCTTATGAACATAAAAGATAACATTTCCTATTAACCTGTTCAGAAATCTACGGCTCAGGGAGCACTTTTCCCATCCTGAGTGTATTCTAGATCTCTTTTTCATAGCCTTCTATGCAGCACCTAAACTGTTCCCTTTTTAGATTTTATGTTCGTTGATTACAGATTTTGGTTGACTTCTCTGTCTTATTTTCTTTTGCCTGGTTGTATTTCCTCTACTATTATAAATTTCCAGAGCTTCTCTATTTTACCTGAACTATAACCTCTCATGAAATACTTTGATAAGGTGATCTTATAACAAAAATTTGATAAAGGATCTTTAAGTCTCTAAAATCAAATGATTTCTTATTTCAACAATAGAAAGCATAACTCCAATAAGCCCTTATTGAAAGCCTACTCCATAACTGAAGTATCAAACCCCCTTGGAACTGACTGCTAAAAGAAAGGGGGTAAAAGACATTTACTAAACTTCCACAGGAAGACTGTATAAATCTGGCAATGGTTAAGCATATATCAGACCATACCCAAGAATACTACCTAGCCTCAAAAATTAACAAAAGTTTAAATTTAGGACAAATTTTGTTCTTAATAAGGCTCAGGAAATTATAATCTATTAAATATACAAGGGTACTACTTACATTATGTAAACCAATTTAACTTAAAAAGTCAAGCAGACAATCTGGATTTGAAAACCAATATAAGTAAATCACTAGATGTAAACAGGAACTTAAGCTACCATTAGCTCCAATTTAAAACAAACATTCAGAACTGGAATCTTCAGAATTTTCTAGTATCTTGAATATTCCCATCTTCTCCTTAACTGGTCCTGAGGATTTCATCTGATCTAAAAGAAAAACATTAAAATAGGTATTTTTTTTTTTTATCAGTATATTAACTCCCTCCACATCATAAATTTTTGGTATGATGCTATTAAAAAGTGAGTTCTCCATCATCATTACCAACTTCATCATGTCAGACACTGACAAAAGGATGTACAAAAGGTGGTACAGGGCTAGAGGATAAACCTTGAGAGTACTTGGCTGACCTTATCAGATACAAGTTACATTTCTTGCTATATAGGTCTTGCTTTATCTTGGTCTTAACCATTCAGCAGAAAAGTATAAAAACGAGGTATATAAAGTAAATCCATATTAATATGATGAGCTGTAAAAGGCTCAAGTCAATAACTTCTGAGGATAACCCACTAATATTATAGACTGCTAGACAGTGTTAGATTGTTTAGTTGAATTCAAACACCTACAGTATT